GTCTGGCAAGGCTAATGTTACAGTATTACTTTTCCAATTCAGAGAGTTTGTGGTATCTTAACGACTAATCAATTTAAGCCTTCATAGTCTGAAACCTCTAGGTTCTTTCTTGGTTTTATCCCAACGGTCTCACATGTCTACTTCTCTGGAAATATAAACTATCAGGCCTTTCCTCCCAATAAAGAGATCCTCTCATTGGTTCCTTCCCTTAAAAAAAAGCTTCAAAGATTGGAGTTCTTAGAGATGAGAACCTGTCGGAGTGATATATCTACAATCATACGGACTAAAGTTTTCTTTTGTGATTGAAAAGCCCCCCCAACAAAAGGTAACATTCAGGGATCCAGCTTCAACAGTCAATATGAGAATTATTTATGGGAAAGGTGTTGTTGTTGTTAGCCATTCAGTCGTGTCCGACTCTTGGCGATTCTATGGGCCAGCTCTCCCCACGTTTTCTGATCCTGTACTGTTTCTTTGAGTCGTTCCATGCTCAGGCTGGTGTCAACGTTTATGGTTTCTAGCCGCCGTGTTCTTTGGCGGCCCAGTTTCCTTTTGCCGCTAACCAATCCAAGTGCAATTGCTTTCTCTAGTGAGTTCTTCTGCATGACATGGCCAAAATAAGTCAATTGCAGTCCTCAGAGAGCACTGAATTCAATGCACTTGTTTAAGAGGGAATGAGAATTAGCCTGTGGGAGTTGAACTAACCTGGGATGTTAAGAAATGAGTTCTGGTGCTTTAAAACAAAGGGATGATGAATTGTAGTGTCCTGCTGCCAAGTGAGGGGGTGTAACTTCCCATCCAAACAAGACTTTGACACTCTGTAAAATGAAGCTTTTGCCAGGTGTTTTTGGTCCAAAAATAACTAGGGGGAAGTCACTGTTGGGGACTAAACAGGGGAGCTGGTTTGATGTTTTGGAGCCTGACAGTTTTTCTGCTTGATCTCACCTGACTCCCCCACTCATTCAACTCCTTTTCCATGTGGCCTTTGTCCATCCAGGTCCCATAATCCCCAGTGGTCAAACTAAGGGCCCCGCCTCCCTCTTGTGCTGCCGGATCCACCTGGTGATTTTTAACAAAGCCCCATTCTGAAAGTCATTATAAAAACAAGGATTAATAGGAAACAATAAAACATGCAGAATCACCAAACTATATTTGTACTGGAATATCCTAAAAACGTTTAACTGGGGCTGATTATATTCTATCTGTCTCCTTCCACCTTTGGAAAACTTGGAATTCTTTGCTTAGAAAATTAAAATTCTTAGGGAAAGCAATTAACTATATGATGATTTGCTTATTTTGCACAGAGCTTCTTTCGGTGGGGAGAGGCGGTTTGCCAGAATTTGATAGGGGGAGGGGGAAGAAAGGAGAAATATTGGTAAAAGAGGTTCATGAGAAATTGTTATTAAGGTAGAATAAGCACCAGTATAAATATTAGTAAAAATTGAAAATAACCTCCAAGCGTCCCCCCCTCCTCCCCCCCGAATGTACTGTTTTATATATGTATGTTTGTTTGTTATGTTATGTGGAAAATGTAATAAAACCCTGCCCCTTTGGGGGCAGTTAAAAAAAAAGAAGTAAAAGAGGTTTTGCACAAAAGAACAAACGGACATTAATCTGACATTGAAAATCACAATATTTAGAACCAGAGGGAGAAATTTTAATCTGATCTAAAAGTCACAGTTCCCTTACAAATGAACTTCAAAAGGAGAATCCGATATGAAATTTGTAGACTTTTTTTTTAATAAATGATTTATCTAACTTCCTAAAAAGGAGAGATATCCCCACAGAAATTGTGTGTGTTTAGAGTGCCACCAAGTCACAGCTAACTTATGGTGACCCCATAGGGCAGGGGTGTCGAACTAATTTGTTATGAGGGCCGGATCTGACCTTGTTGGGCCGGGCCATGTGTGTCATAAAATGTAATGCCAGGTAGCGGAGATATAAACTTTATAAAGGACACAAACAAAAAGATGTTTTTTTACTTAAGCTGCAAATCTACTTTTGATTTATTGACATTCACCACAGAAATCTCATGCTCAGAGTTCTGAGTCTAGGACCCAGGTTAAAACATGAAATGGCTGAGTGATTAAGAGAGTCTGGCGAAGCAAGCTATGATGCAGCAGCTGCAGCAGAACTGGAAGCAGGAGATGGCCAGTTCCACTGCGGGCCTGATGGAAGACCTCCGGGGGCCTGATTTAGCCCCCGGGCCACATGTTTGACACCCATGCCATAGGGTGACATTTAGAAATGGTTTGCCATTGCCTTCCTCTGCATAGAGACCCTGGAATTCCTTGGTCTCCCATCCAAATACTAACCAGGACCAGCTGTGCTTAGCTTCCCAAATCTGAGGACAGGGCCGGCTCGAGGTGTTTCTGCACCCTAGGCGAGGCACAGATGCCAACCTCCTGGTGGGGCCTGGAAACCCTTTTGCTGCCGCCTCCTCCTCCCCCCCCAGGGGGGAGGGCGGGTGAGCTGCGGTGCCGCCTCCTGCGACCCGGCCGGATGTCTTCCTGCTTCTGCTGGCGGCGGCGAGTCCCCGCTGGCCACCGTCATGCCGCCTCTGCCTCCTCCCCCCTGAGGGGGGAGGGCGGGCGAACTGCGGTGGCGGCGCCTCCTGCACCCCAGCCAGGCGTCCTCCTGCTTCTGCTGGTGGCGGCGAGTCCCCACTGGCTGCTGCCATGCCGCATCTACCTCCTACCCCCTGAGGAGGGGAGGGCGGGCGA